TTTAACTTTCTTTCTTTTATCATAATTTATAAATACTTTACATTCATTCATTTACATTGATTTTGATATCTATACTGATCGGGACTATACGATAATTAAATGAATCTGATTAATTTTTTTTGTTCTTTTTCTAAGATTATTTTCATTCAATAGTACCCTATTCTATTTGGGGGGGTGGGGGGGGGGAATAAATAAAGGGGGGGAGGTAATTAGAAAACAAAGCTGAGAAACGGCTTCCACTTATCACAACAAAAACGTAATTCATCCCCAGACTTTTCAATTTTGTAAATAGACTTAATATATATCTGAAAGCAGTCGATACTTCTGTGACGTCATAAACTGAAACTCTACATTTGTGACGTCATAAACTGATACTTGATACATTTTTGACATGACGTTATATCAAGAAATTACTGTCTAGAATCTTAGCAAACATACGAAATGCCTGTCTATATGTTTACTGTAGGTCAATTTATTTAAATAAATAAAATCAATAAATCAATCATTTTTTTCATAGTGGGCAACACTTTTTTTCTAATAACTTTATTATCGATAGAAGAGTAAGTCATACATCATAGGACGTTTGCACTACCATAATGCTTCGCGAATTTTCTTTCTTTTTTCTTTCTCGTTTGTATTCCCTTATGAGAATAGTAAGGCAATTGGTGCTAATTAACTGAACAAATGAAAGTGTGCAARGGAGTCTGGTAGTAGAGGTCAATGACGCCATCTTGCAAACGTCCTATTACATTAATTCCGTCCACCTCGACGTAGCTATTTACACGATTTTTTTTTTTTTTTTTCACTTAACTTATTCTAAACTAGCTCTCTCGATATTTTAGGACGACGAATTTATCATCTATTTTTACTCTGTTGAGGGTTTTACCCTCGTTATTCCTAAAGTAACGTCTAAATAAAGGCTGTATAAAATAATGCAATGTTTGTGTTTCGTCTTTCGAAGAAACTGAAATCTTTCGTTTTATATTGATATTAATAGCATTAGATAGTTGCATTTTCTTACAGTAACTTTTCTTCTTGTCATAAGCTACTTCCAAGAAGGTTCGTTTTTATGAGGTAAGCGTGCTGCGGCCTTTTCATATATTTCGCAGAAAATTATTTCAAATACTAAAACAGGACCTTTTACAGATAGTGCATTGTCTTGTCTAGAAACGCTTTAGCTATGGTTTAATGTTTTCCCAATTCAAACCATGTATTATACCCTTGAGTATTTTTTCTTTCTTTACCAGTAATTCTTTTCAGCTATGGTACAATGTTTTCCCATTTCAGACCATGTGTCATTCCCTTGAGTATTATTTCTTTCTTTACTAGGAAT